GGAGGTAGTCTTGTCCTACATATAGATCGATTCTTAGCTAAACAAAGTTCGAACCAAAATAAAATAATGACGACTTTAAAGCGTGTTCAAGTTTAGCTCATTTGAGTTATACTATCTTTACCCAAATTTATATGAGATTGTTTCATTTCAAGTCATATGTTGTATTCACCATCATCGAATAAGTGAGTCCTATTAATATTTAACGGTGGTGAATGAAATGAAACATTTAGAATTTGGTACATGTAGTATCCTGAGACTCATATATCTAACAAGTTGATCTTAAACGAACCTAAATCAAACCTGAATAACTTGTTTTATTTTACAATCCTAAATCATGTCTTGGCAAAAGTTGGTGGGAATAAGAAAACATCCGATTCCAAAATGCTCTTCATGTGCATGCTACTTTCTTCCCATAATTTATATATATAATGTTTGCATGATCCACAGTAAAGTTATTTCAGCTCTGCACTGATCTGTTTATTACTAAATCAAACAGTGCAATAAAGCAGGTCTGGTCCATCCAAAGGTACAAAAAGGTGCATAGATCAAAGTAAACTCAGAAGAAAAAGGTTAAATATCACCCACAAAGAGTGAAAAAAAGTGAACAACTTTGTGTTAAAAGGGCCGTCCACTTTCTGCATTCTATCAAGAACTAAACCACCATCGTGGGTTATCTTCCTTCCTGCTTTTGAGGGCAAATTAGATTCCAAAGCCCCCACATATATATATAAAGTAAGGCCAGTCTTCCTCCTTGGATAGATCATGTAGTCATCACTAACTTATGTCAAACAGTACTGCACTTTAATCGACATAATTTCTTCCGGATGAATTCATGGTTTCAAAGTATCAATTATATCAATACAACTCGGTTTGAGTCATATCCAACTCATCACTTTTTTATTTGAGGACTATTTTACATTTCATGTAAATCACAAGTCTCACAAAACTCTAAAATGTCTCCGAATAATCTGAGTCATTACCATTGCATCTGTCGACTCTATTCCTAAAAAATCCTGTATGGTCTCTTTTTATCTAGCATTTCTTGTTTATTACTTGGCTACGCAATGTCATGAGCGAAGTGTCTGAGTACCTTCCAAGTAGATGGCTGATGCAATGACTTTAAACCATGGTCAAATTGGAGCAATTTTCTTTTAATAGTTATCAAGTCTATTTTATCAGCAGTATGGAATGTTTGTCTGTTTTTTGATAAAATAAATAAATCTGATTTCTGCAAATATGGATACTATACAATATAGTTCAAAACACGTTCCATATGTAAATAATATTTTATGTTGTCCGTGAACTCTTAGCGCATGTGAACAATATTACAAAACTTAAATAAAACTCAAAAAGTTGTAACCAAAATAAATATCATTCCGTAGATGAGGGAATCTCATCAATTTTTTCAATAGAACTCACTCATCCAACACTCGTTTAAGAGATGATATGCATTTGAGTTTTAATTTTTGAGTAATGTTATTGAGAGTTAATTTACTGATATAATTTCCTGACCTAATTTGCTGTGATCTTTAGATTGACTATAAAATTATCAAATATTACAACTTGTTGTTGATCCAATGATTCTTATGAACCCACATCATTATGTCAACAAATTAGATCAGATTTTTATGTTCAAATAACATTCTTAATTTTTTGGTTCCATTTGAGTTGTGTAGTATTTTTCTAAATCTAATGATACACTCAAAAGCTTGCACAATGATTGATGAATTTTACACTTTAGTCTTGGCTTGTGACCAAGGTTCTAGTCACAGAAACAACCTCTCTGCATGTAGAGATAAGACTGCGTACATCTTAATCTTGTCAGACTCCGCATTGACGAAACTGTTGTACACTGAGCTGCTTTTTATTTTGGTCTTGGAAATGCCCAATTGATTGGCGGGCAGGGAGGATCCACCCCGTTCCAGACCCAGACACCTTTAATATTCACTGTAGAATACTTCTCATATTCAAAAAAAGCCATGCCATAGAGAGTGGGAGAAGAAAAGTGGGAAAATGTCTGAAGAATAAGAAAAAATAAAAATTAACAAAGATTAAGAAACTAAAAGCGGTCTAAGATGGAGGCTTCTTTCTTCTGGCTATCTAAAAAGGAGACTAAAGAGATAACTCAAAAGTAGAAGACAATATAAAAGCAATAAGATGGATTGATTTAAAGGAGAGAGAGGAATAATACTGACAAGCTAATACTCGAGGAATAATATTATTTGTTACCTAATATTCGGATATAATATCTTTAGATATAATGCTATGTTAGATACCGAACTAATTCTCTACCAATGTGTATTAGGGAGTACTAATATGACCTAATATCCTGACATTATAATATTTTAGCTGATGTGATTCTAATAGGAAAATTTAGAGTATTTTTTTTTTTCGGAAGGTAAAATGTATTGATATTGAATATAGTATTGTAGATACAAAAATACTATTATGTCATATCAACCAGCAAGTCATCAAAATGAGTCCACTATGACCCTACACAAAAAAAGTTTCTCGATACCACCGTGCGGTTGGTTTAGCACCTCAGATTTCTTTGTTCGGTGCTTAGGTTTGAGTATCTATAGTTGCGACAATTTGATGAAGCTAAACCTACCCTTCAATACTTAGAGTACGCGATAAGACATTAGTTTCGGCGCTGACGTAGGTGTAGTGAGGTCTCTTGTAGATAGTTGTATAATACTGAAAGACAATATTTGTTGAGCAATTTTGTAGAATGACCTATTTGTATATTCACCAAAAAAATAAAACAAGAGTTTTTCGTCACGATTGAAAAACATATCTTCAGATGAAGTATTTAATTGAATCTTAATATCCTTACCAATTCCCTAAGGCTCCTAATCTTTTCAAAAGCTACTAGTCAGCTAAGAATTCCCACATATTTAAGTTAAAGTTATCAAGAGATAACGATCTTTTGGCGATTCCAAAGCAAAAACATCTTTAAGGTTTAAAGAAGAGAGATGCCTATCTATACGTTTCACAATAGTTTCACTTTTTCATTTGGTTTGTTTATTAACACTTATACACCCCCCCCCCCCCCCCCAAGCTTTTTACTGATTTCCAAGGTGACAATGTTGGGTTACGAAAATCAATGGGAGAAAAGTTTTATTCTTTTGCAAAAAAGCATGAAAAGTAGTGCTCTTTTTGAGATTTCTTAGGGAAGATTTTGCTTTTTTTCCCTTCTAAAGCACGAAAGTTGCCTCTCCTTTGCACAACCCTTACGTTATGGATCATTTCATTAATCTTACTTTGCCACTTCCCGACATAACCTCACTTGGACACCATATAAAGTTGTCTAATGCAACAATTTTTCATTGCCCTTCCAAGTTCCAAGCCACTTAAGTTTATGTGACAAACTTCTTTTGGGGTATGATAGAAAAATTTATGATCAGTATCAGGGACAGAGTTAGGGTTTTATCTTAGGGGAGGCAAAAACGTGAATGAAAACATTAATCAATTTACCTCGATTAGTAAGGACTAAGTTGGTATTATATTTATACAATAAAATTATTAAATTCAAGTTTGAGAAATTATGCATTACAATTCAAGACTTAGTTACCATAAAAAAATTAACAAAAATGCATTGAGCAAACAAAGACAGTAATTTTCTCATAGCACATTTCAATTCACTCATATATTAAAGTGTCAGTTCAAAAAAGTAATATAGTAAATGTCAAGAATATAATAATATAGTAGAACATGACAACGTTGTATTAAATGTCAAGAATCATTTATTATTTGATCATTTTCATGACATAAATTTCTCATAAATCTTCTTTTAATGTTGTGGAGAAATTGATCTTTTGGAATGACTTAAACACTTTCGGTGTGGTATGTTTTATTAGTTACATCAATTCGCGTGGTATTAGTTTATACGAGCCACTAATTATCGAAAAAAGAACAATGTACAACTATACAGTTATTGTTAAACAATCAGAGCAAAAAATATGTTATCTTTGGTCAATATATGAGTTTAGAGCATGTTACATTTGTTTTAGTAGATTAGGGGGCGAATGAACTATTAATTTACCTAAAAGAAAATTGACTAAGATAACTATACAAATTTTCAAAGACTTAAAGAGGAGGCAATAATATAATAAACCAAACATAGTTTGGTTTTCTCATAAGAGGCTGTGACTGTATCTTACATGTAAGGACTTCAAGTTCCTCATCCAATACGACGAAGAATGAGCCAACCAAAGTATTTGAAGAAAAACAACCTTAGGAATAATAGAGTAATGTCAACACTCTCATACTGTGAAGAAAATGAATTTTTTTTTTTTTTCAGTAAGTAAGATAATTTCATAAAAACGAAAAGGGATCATGTACGGAGGTGTAACCAAAAGGGATGATTGATTTCTTAAAACAAGGAAAATAAGATCCTCATCCCCATAGCAAAAGAATACATGGCAAAAAACACAATCCAAAAGGAACAAAAAAGAAAATATGAGCATCAAGACATAGACACCAAAATAAAGTTGTCTAGACGAATGGTATATTTATGAAAAAGACATGCGTACCCTAGTATTTTAGGTTCTGGGTATGCCTTTCACTATTAATGCACATTCCAATTTTCAATCAAAACTGACAAAAAAAAACATGTACATATTATTTTTTGTCGCGATCACTTCCTTGGTGTTAATTAAAGTGTCGGAAATTACGTTATTTGGCTTGAAAGTTTATGTATACAGATGAAACGCAACAACAAAGACTCATGAATCTTACAAAATATTGGAAACTGTATAAATCTTGAGTGTTCTGAACCTGTGTTTGGAAAAGATGCAAGAAACCGTTCAAAGAATATGGACTTCTCATGCCAAACTCAAAAGAAAAAGAAAGAAAGAAAGAAAAGAAAGGTTAAGAAAAGAGGATTGATGTACAGAAAGAGAGAGGTGCCTACTACTAATGCTATCGAAGTGCATCAGCCTATGTGAGGAAGATCATGAAGAATGTACACATTTAATCTACATAGAATGGTTTACGATAAAAAAAAATGAAAAAAAAATGGACAAAAAAATTGAAAAATGAAAAGAAAGAAGAAAACCTCGTGTTAACACAATCATTTGAAGGTACTCTATTGTCACAACTCCTGAACTTTGAACATAATGCATCTATCCACAGAGTCAAGAAGACCTATATCATCTATTGACTCATGCTCAGCACTATCATCCTCAAATGAAATATTCAAATCCAAAGATACACAAGGGCTTGTCTCTTCCAAACCCTTACCCTTATCCTCTTCTGACCTGTCCGATTTCTGCTTTACAGGAGGAGAGCAAGCTCTTGACCTAGAGCTAAAGCTTTCACAGCTCAAAATGACAATGGCATCTGAAAGACATACTTCTTCACCATTTGAATTGGTTATTCTTCCTCTCTCAATAGCCCTTTTAAGTCCCATTTGTGACCAATAATCTGCTTGCTCTACATCTTCAACAAAGAAAATTCGATGAGGATTAGAGGACACTGCTTCTGCAAATCTCTCGACATAAGTGCAACTTTGTTCATTTCTTGACCTTTTTCTGAAATCTTCTGTTGAATCAGCCCTTGTTGATGAGAAGCTGCTGAGAGCGATTGATACAAAGTTTGAATGCGACCCAAACACGACTTTAGCCAATTCTCTAGAAATCCTTTCTTTTGCTTGCGTATCAACACCTTGGAAAAGCAACCAAGTCTCTTCTTTGGTCTCATTACATTGAAGCTTCTCTTTCCTTCTAAGCATTCCAGACCTGCACTGTAGTATAGTGCCAACAATTTCAGGAATGATATATTTCTGCCATGGGACCTTTTCCTCTAATGCATTGCATAGGGTATTGAGGTTCTCAGCATTGAACTCCTTGAACTTTTGAACATACTCTGTCCCCATAATCTCGCTTGAAGAAGCCGAATTGGGCATAGAATTAGGTTTAGAGGAAAGTGCATTTTTGGGATGAGACATTGGCCAAAACTGATGGTCACTCCATGACTGTTTGGGTTGAGACATTGGCCAAGCTTGTTGGGTCTGGTCCAAGTTAGTGTACTGTGGGTCATAGGAAAAGCAAGAAGTAGATGAAGAAGGTGATATGGAAGAAACGTTTAGGGTTATATCTGAGGAAATTGATTGTTTGTGGACTGAACTGCAGATTGAATTCCATTTTTTGCAGAGTTCTGTAATGGATTCACCATACTAGAATAAAGAAGACAGATACAAAAAGAAAAGTTAGTCTTGGACTCACAGCAACTGTTATGCAAAAGGAAATACTATGATATTGAATGATTATTTCATTGCGGTTACAATAAAATGAATCATTTAGTTAGGATTGAGCTTTTTAATTTTTGAGAATCGATCTTAACTTTTTTTAATGGTAACTTTACTGGTAGTAATTGATCCAAATTATCTTATAAGTTATAACCGCATATGAATCATAAACTTATCCTTATTTGAGTAATTCTTGGTAGGACACCAAACTCGGTACAGTAATCGTTAGGATAATGTACAAAGTTAGGGAAGAAATAATGACCTGATTACTATTACTAGTAGTAGTGGGTCTTCTGATATCATCCTGGAGCCATGAAGGCAGACTTGATGTTGTGTATAAGCTTCGAGCTTCACTGTCGAACTTGGATGAGCAATCAGCACAGCAATCGAGCTGCTTCTCCTGATGATCACCTTCAAACAGTAGCCAACTAGGCCCATTTCCTTTTTTTTTGCTTCTAGGCTCACTTTGTGTGTCACTGATGAGAACCAAGAAAATGATGATAAATGTAAAAGACCTTGGCAAAACTTTTTCATCAATTACTATAATACAATGCCATCCGATTATTTTTTTAATGATAAAAAACAAGTCCTTGTGTTACACATCTATGACATTTAGCGAGATTTACACAGCTCAATCACTTTTGAGTAAATTGAATTTGAACGCACTCAAATGCTATGAGAAATAATTTATGAGTTATGAACATATAATTAAAAGGTATAGATTAAAAAAACTTGAAAACTTCGTGATTTTAATTTCACGGTGGAACCCAATAGAAAACAGAAAAGAGAAAGGAAGAAAGAAAGAAAGAAGAAAAGAAAAATAACAAACTAAAAAAGTGATTGATCACATATAAGATAAGTGAAGCCAAAATTACGAAAAAGCAAAAGCAAAGGAGTAGAAGGAAAAAAAAGGCATATACGTTTTAAGGCAAATTTGTTCAAAGACAAAAGATCAGGAAAAGACGTCTGCCTACTATTGTTTTTCCTTTTTCTTGGTTCAATCGTCACAAGTGTTTGGAAAACTCAACTAATTCACTCCACTTACTATTGTTTTTCCACTTGCTCAGAATGAAATCTATCTTGATGTTCATACGAAATGAAAAATAACCCAAAAAGACTTTTTTGAACGAAAGAACAAATTCAAGAAAGATAACATTGAAATCCAAAATTATGTACCCTAAACTTATAAAAAATTTTCCATTTAAAATTAATTTATCCACCTAATTATATTAGAGTATTGCGCCGAACTTCTGACTTTACCTGTCAGGGATGAGGCTCAAGCCCAAACTATCAGCAGAAATGGTAACTGGGTGCAGATCACCCCAAACAGCTTCAAGTGAATAATGGCTAGTTCTACACCTCATGTAGGTTTGAAAAGTTGCAATTCCCATGAGCCTGAACCTCCCATTCTCTCCCAATCCACATACCATTCTTCCAAGCTCCATGATCATGTGCTCCACAGGACAGTAGCAACTTCTCTCTTGCCTACCACAGTTAGCCCTGTAATCAATAACCCATTTAATATCTCCCAAGTACAGAACAACCCCTTTGTCCACACAGCTATTCACAAGACACCTTAACTCTCCAAGCTTCTGGTCAACATCTTCTCTTGAGAGATGATTTAGAGAAAGAAGTGGAAGGCTTGTAAATTTCACTTCCATGAAAGGATCAGAAACATCTCTTTTCTCAATCCTATCCATCACTACTCCAACCACACCTTCTATAATATCAAGACATTCACCAACAATCACAAAACTTTTCCTCCTCCTGTTCATCAAATTTCCTATTACACTCATCACATCCTCATTACTAACTTGATCAGATGACTTTGGTTTGCTCACTTTTGCTCCAATTTGACCCATGGAAGGAGAAGGAGAGAGGACGAGGAGGTTATTTTCTTTGGACTTATTACTTGGAGGAGGGGTTTGAGAGCAAAGTTCCAAAGAAACAGCTTGTTCTACATTAGTTTTCACTTGGGTACTAGAAAACCCAGCTTCTCTCATAACTCTACTCACACTAGGGTCATCTAAAATAGAGATTATGAGCTGTTCTAGCTCGATTTTCACAGCTAAGAGGGGTTGTTGTTGATTCTCAATAGAACCACGTCTCTGATGTGCTTGAGCTCGTTTGAAGGCGGCCACAAGAGCGTTGGAGATTGAAGGGTGTTGGGAATGAGGACCTAATATAGGGTTAGATGAGGAAGCAGGAAGTCTATTGAGTGCAACATTGAAGCAAAGCTCTAGGGCTTTGCACTGGAGGGGGTGAGAGTGGGACTGAAGACAGGCCGTTCGGAGAAGGCCGGTCGAAGCAGAAAGCATGGTGGTGGCTACATGTAGAGGGGTCACTTGGGCATGGCCACGCCGTCTGGCTAGAGCTAGGGCTTGTTTAACGATTGTTGCAGCCTCTGAAGTGAGAGTCTGTTGTGCTGTCCAATCACCTGCTCTCATATTCTTTGATGAGTTTGATCTTAACAATTTCAGTACTAAAGAGAAGCCTGTAGTGGTAGGATCAAAGAAGATCTTGTGGAAATTTTTCGTTCATCTGATAGTTTTCTTGTGTAGGATTGGAAAAACAGTACATAGAGGAGAACTCTAGAGATCTAGAGAGAGAGAGAGAGAAGACTGGAGTGTGTGGTTAGGTTAGCTTTCCATATCTGTTAAACTATGCAATCGAACAAGCGAGATGATGGAGAGATAGAGAAATATATGGGAGTTGGGGTGTGCTTTTCTTGAGGGTGAGGTAAAAATTGGGGTCCAACTAAGTGGATTTTGGAGTGGAAAGTGGAGTACATGTGCTGACAAGCAGGAAGACTGCAGCAGTATCAAAGGCAACTCAGCTTTGCTCTAATCTCAAACTCTGATAAAGGGGTGGTATCTTGTAGTGGATCTCTCTCTTTCATGCAAATATTTTACATTTGGAAAAGAGTAATGATTTATAGACTCAAAAACTAGATTTAAAAATTAGATTTGATAATTTCAATCATTGAATAGATAGTGGGTTCCAATAAATACTGGGACCTACAATGAAATCAATAGTTGAAATTATCAAGTCTAATTTTAAGTCTACTTTTTAAATTCATGTAACATTACTTTTTGAAAAATGTTAAATAAAGTTAAAAATTTGATTTGATGAATTACTATTCTTGAATAAGTAGTTGATTCAATAAATATGGAGATTCATAGTTCAAATAATAACAAATATAATAGTCACATTATTAAATTAATTTTTAAAATTTATATAACATTACTCTTTATATTTTATTTTGGTACTAGATAAAGAGCCTCGTTGCATCACCTATTTTTTAAAGAGTAATGTTATTAAGATCTAAAAAGAGAAATTTTACGGTACCAAAAAAAAAATTCGATACTATATTGCCAAGTACTATTTTTATGGGTAACATTACAAGTTTGAAAGGAGAAGTTATAACTGCTCAATTGAAGACCATGATCGAACATGAAATCTCAATATCGATCTCAACCTTCCATGATCAATCATATCTTTTAAAATTATAACTTACACCTCAAAAATTGTAAGTTAATTTTACAATAACTCATAATGCTATATCAAAAAACCGATTTTTTTTCATATAATATAAGCTAAATGGAGTATTTACATGTAATACTAAATCAATTCATTCCTTATTCAATTAATTAATTAATCGTGTCGTGTAGTGTAGGGTTTGTTGCGTATGAAGAATTGATACCACTTTTTATTAAGAAAAGACAAGAAGTGTCGGCTGGGGGGATTGGGATGGGAGGAGCCTCTTTGTTGCATCAAATACAAGCACCTGAGGCTGAGAGAAGGGTGGGGAGCTCTCTGTCTCAAGGAATCGGGAACTATGTACGATTTTCTTCCGGATTCAAAAAAAAAAAAAGGAACAAATTGTTGGTCCAGTGTATAAGAACTCAAATTTCTTCACTCAATGTTTGGGTTCAATTCTCTATAATTATAGCAGCTTGTTGAAGCTTTAGTTTCGGCCCCGACATAAGTGCGGTGAGATCCATACAGATAGTTGTGTAGTGCTGAGAGACAATGTTCTCTTACGGATATATGGAATGAGCTATCTACATATTAATTTCTTGTACCCAAAAAAAAAAGGAATAAAGGGGTTCGATTAGTTATTGGTTACAACCATTGATATACATATGTGGCTTGGAGCCCTTCACGAATGGGATTAGAGGATTCAGATCCTTTTTAATACATTTTTTTTCAATGAATCTTTTTTAGTACACTTTTTCTTCAATGCATATTATCCACCATTGATAAGTGAGAGACTCACTTATATATAATAGATCTCAATTAAATGCACGGTGAATAATATACTTTGAAGAAAAAATATATTGAAAAGAATCTCACTCCGAGATTAAGAATGCCAAAACACAGCCCCTCCCTCTCTCTCAGGCGCACACGCACAAAGGGTCATTTCCTTCGTTCACTGAAAAAAATCAAACTAGTCATGGAGTGAAAAACAAGTGACAACGAATATATGCAGCGCGGTTTAAAATTAGTTCTCCAATCAGTCGTCCCCCTAATGCAATTATGGCATGGCCAATAGTTACATTACGTGACCAAAAAAGTAGTGGCATTTGGCTGACGTATGGCTCAAGCAAAATGCTATTTAGTTAATTTGAATATTTAACCTTGGAATCTAACCAATTATAATTGTCGGATTAAAAGTGACTTCATTCAACATTAAAACTCTCCATTAGTCTAATGACGGCAATAAATTAGATCTCAAAATTATGTCCCCACAACATTGCTTTTAGCTCGATAGTAGACTCTATGAAGATAAGTGGGACTCAAAATATATTGATATTCCATGTACGGGGGATGCAAATCTCTTCAAAAATAATAATTCTCAAATCCGTTAAAGGATAGATCAACCACCATGTATGTGTATGGGATCAACTTGCAAATTGTGAATCTTATTTAAATTCATGATAAGTAATTTATTGAATGCAATCGAGAAAAAATATATTAGAGAGTATCTCATTTTATCCAATGACCCTATGTCTCATATTTTTGGACGAATGAGCCTAACAAAGATATTGGTCTAACTTAAAAACCCTTTTTTTTTTGTTCAACGATGAGGGAGTATTCGGGCTAGTTTATGCGCACCTCGGCTAATTCTCTCTCCAATCCAAGACTAGAAAATACACTTTGTTACAAATGTTGGAATCCGCAAATAAGTTCTTAAATGTTATGAAAAAGTATTGGAGCCATATATTTTCTTGACTTTATATCCCAAAAGTGAAAACATTATGTTCTGTGTGTTGGTGATTTTCTTCTTATTCTTTCTCTGGTTGAGCTTCTCAGGTGACTTGGTGGGGGCCATATTGCTTTGTTCTGGCCCGTGCTATGTTAGATCAGTGGTCTCATTCCTCAGCATGCTATTGCATGGAAAGGAGAGCACAACACCACTCACTATCCACCTTATCTTCATATTCAAATTAAAAACACACAACAAATCAATCCACAAAACAAACCATAAAGAAAATATTATCTTACACTTCAAACAAGATATCTCCCTTTCATTCCTCAATCATCTTCGGCTTTTACTTGTTCACAACAAGACTCCCTCACAGATCAAAGTTTGTGTAAATACTTTGTCCATTAAAGGTGGTCCATTTTTTTTCTTTGTTTTTTTTTTTTGGAGAGAGAGAGAGATCTGCTACTCATAGAACAAAGTGCTGGAAAACCCTTTTTGATCATTATTTTATGCTGGCCAGTATCTTTTGATAAGAACAATATTGAAACCCAAAAAAACCATAGGAATTATCTTTTTAAGGTCCCGAAGAGTTAGCTTCTATCATTACTTGACATGAATGCCAATCCGAGGGCCCTTTGATATGGTTGGGAATGTCTCCACATTCCAACCTACAGTGCCCTATCTTTGTGTGAGGAATCTATTACTAAAGTACCGCAGAAGTTAAACTTATTAATCAATCTATCGCCATTTTGAACTTATTTACCAAAATATGGCTATTTTAAAAGCGGAATTACGAAACCCGAATTCATTAATAAAAACGGAATTAGGAAGTATGCCTTTATTAAAAAAGCAGATGTACCAAGTACGTTTTTATTAAAAATCGGATTTACCAAATTCACTTTCTAAACTGTTGAAATTAGTTTTGAAAAGTAAAAGTATATTTCGGAAGTCCGCTTTATGCAGGAAAAGCGGATGTCCCAATTACAAGTTTAAACAAAAAGCGTATTTCTCAATTACGCTTTCATTTGAATAACCACCCACTCAGGGCCCCCTTTCTGTTATTATTCGTCGACTTCGCCTCTCTATCCTCTCTTCTCTATTCTCTCTGTAGAAGCTCAGACATCGCCCCTCTCAGCTTTCCATTCACTGAGTGACTCTTTCTTCCATTATTTAGTCTGATTTCATCACCCCTAAGCTCAAACCCTACTGATGAAATCTAATCGTAGCCCTAGCTTCTTTGAAGAAGACAACTGAGTTGTGGAGTAATATTCGGCTGTGAGATTCGCCTGAGGTGTGAGATTCGCCTATGAGATTCCATTGTAAGCCCTAGTTTTGTCAAGTTAACTGGTAGAGTGGTACACACCCGTGCGCTAGGTCTGAACGAAGGAGGTGACAGCGGTTCATATGTTAAACACAAAGCTGCTATTTAACCAGGTACGCAGAATTGAGTCTCTAATTCAAAAAAAACCCAAGTGTAACCGCAAATTTTCCCCATTGCCCAATTCCAATGAATGTTGAATTCAAAAATCCCCAAGTGTTAGTGCAAACTTTCAATCCTCATTGCCCAATTACTACGTGATTCCGAAAATTCTAAATTTTTTTCAATTTTGAATCCCCATTAATACTGTGAGTTGTTTGAACTGTATACTTATTTCATAAGATTACAGTGTGTGAAGATATATTTTTTTTAGAAATTTATTTTCAACTGCATCATAGTGTGAAGGCAGTCATATCTGTTTGCATATTTCTAGTTTTTCGATATGTATTGATTTGTTGTTTCTGAATTTGATTTGTATTGTGCATTAGTCTGTTGCATTTGATGGTTTAGAAAATAATTGAAGTGGGTAAATCCTTGAGTGATTATGCATGTGACTAGTGGGCTGCGACCGAGTATCTAAAATTGTTTGCACATCCATTTTAGTTTTTACATCTTGGGACTTGACCACTCCAAGCGAATTGGATGTCGATGGAGATTATCATAAATGTCCACTGGGAATGAGATTCATTTGAATAATTGAAGTTAGTAGACCCTTCATTTTCCCCTCCAGATCAGATATATTTAGGTCCAGTGCAATATGATACTTTTGGCAGTATGTGTTTGTAGTTTGTAGCGCGTCGTTGATTGAATTTGTATCAGCTCCTTTTGATGCCGAATATCTTAATCTAAAGATGTGGGTGCTGATCATATTCAACCCCTAGTGACTGCTTGTTGAGTGGAATTTATTTTTGAGTAGCTCAACTGTGTAGTTGAAATGCTAATGTGATGATAATTCTAAAAATTCATGAAGTGGTTCATCTCATGGTTAAGAGAGATTTATTTTCATTATTACAAGTGTTAAAGGGAAAGATTGACAATTCTATTGAGCTGTTAGTAACAGTCACCAAGCTAGACCACGTTTCGTAAACCTTTCCAGGCATTATAAATGACTACCTCTAACATAGTCCTCCTGTTACCACT